ATATATATATATATATATATATATATATATATGGTATATACGAAGATATATTTATATATCTATAATCCATCCCCTTTAAGCAAACAGAACAGACTTCTACAAATCTTATTTTCCTTACTATTATGTGTAGTTCTTTTCAAATCAGCACATGTACCTCTATCTCATTTTTCATTTCAGTAATAGTTCATCATATCCCATCTTATGGCTATGTGCTAATTTAACTAGACTCCACTGATGAACACTTGCTTTCAGTTTCTTACCATTAAAAATAATGCTGCAATAAGCAGCCTTAGTTATACACCCTGTAAATCTTCTGGAGTCTACTATTAGAGTTAATTTCTGGTAATTGGATATCTCCATCAAATCAGAAGACTGTGTGAAATTACAATTCTCCCCTTCATTTATTTAATTATCAGGCAACCAAAACTGGCAGGAATTCTTAGTATTTCCCATAAATTTCCCTAGGTTCTTGCAATCCTAATACCTGAGTTACATTTTAAAAGTTGTACTTTAATTAAACTTATAAAAACACTGGATTTTGAGTTCTGTTTGTATAAAAGGGAGGAACAATGCAGAACCTCGGTGAACCCATATAATTCATGTTTAATTCCATTTTTAGATTCATCCAGAGTGAATTTTGCATTCTTGCATCTATGTGGTTTCTCATCTTTGTTTCTCTAGTCAGCTCTCCTTTAAAACTATTTTTTATTTTCCCCTCCTCTACATCTAGTCCACAGTCTTGTAAATTCTTTCAGTCTCTCACCCTCAAAAAAAAAAAAAAAAAAAAAAAAAAAAAAAAAAAAAAAATTCACACTTCCATCTCCATTTACCTGACTTTGCGGAGTAGATGCAGAATTGCCAGTTGAAGGTCTCACTTTTGAAGTTTTACTTAGGGCTTTCTTCTGCTGCAAAGCCATGGTATACTTACTCACAGCATTCCGATATTCTTTATCATGAAAGAGAGAATCTGCGTGATACACCAAGAGCTGGTACTTCTGGGATGGGGAGAATAACTCACTGGAAAACAAAGAAAATACCCCCTACATGGGTTATTTTGAACTGTTAGACAGAACACCCTCCTTAGTGTCCACATAAGCCTAGCATAAAGCCTTGTATAAGGACAGTTTACAAAAAAGTCAACATATCATAAATGCTAGTCCTTAAAATGAGGCATGAGAGTCGCACTCTACGCTAATATGGTCAGCACATCCAGGAAACTGCTTTAAATTGCTCTATTTTAATGTTTTTCTCCTTTATTTACTAAAAAAGCAATGATACCTCTAAATCAAATACAGTAATACACACATATACAAAGAGAAATGTTATACATTTTTTCCTCCCCTTCCTTAGCCCAAGTCCTCTTAACAATCTGATATATATATCCATACTTTCTTATATTAACATCGGTTTTTAGCATAATATAGACAAAAGGAGAAAAATCACAATGACTTAACAAATTCTACCAGGATGGGTTGAACAACTTGGAAAAGAGAAATCTCACCACTTTGAAACCTTTTCAGGAAAGTGCTGAACAAAAAGAGGTTTCAAAGGAACTGAAAACTCTTCAAATACTGAAGATAGGAATACTAACATACTGAAGTATGAGAATAGAACAGAATAGAATAAAATAGAATAGAATAAGCCAATGGGACAGAGTAGGATAGAAAGAGGATTAGCCTTATTTGATGAAGTTTTTTGTTTTTTTTTAATACAAAAGTAAACTTCTACTAACACTAGAATTTTTATCTCAAGTCACAGGGATTTAAGGACCAGTGTAAAAGAACCAAGATGTTTCAAAACTTTTTCACTAATGTTGAACATTCCTCACAAGCATAATAACTGCCTAGAAGCTGGCCACCATTCTTAATGGGAAACATTTTTAATCGCCAATTCCACCTCCCCACCATTCCTGACAAGAATTTACACATTTTTCTTTGACAAGTAAAGCTATAGCTGTTTAAAATGAAAGAACAGTCACAGTCAACTGTGTAAACAGTTAATTTGTCAAAAAATGAAGGATACTCAAGAATAGATACCAGAGATTAGTAGCTGCCAGGGGCTGGAGAAAGTGGGACCAGGGGTGATTACTAATAGAATATGGGGTTTCTTTTGGGGATAATGAAAGTTTGGGATAGACAGTGGTGATGGTTGTACAACTCTGTGAATAGATTTAAAACCAAGGGGGCCCTTGGGTGGTTCAGTCAGTTAAGTGTCCAACTCTTTTTTTTTTTTTTTTTTTT